TCCAAGCATGTTTATAAAGGATCCGTCCGGCCTTTGGAGATTTACTCAAAACCTCCCGGTTTTTCCTCCACTGAGAGATTTTTGAACTTGAGAATTTAGAAAGTGATTGTTCATTATCCAAACTCTTTGAAAAAAGAAGAAGGAGTGGGCGGCACTGTAAAGGAAGAATCTTAGTTACCGGGATAAGAGACAAAATTTATGACTTTCCCACTGATTCCTCAGCCAATTCTGCCCCTCCCCAGTCCCCACTTCTCCAGAGATTAAAACATGCTTGAATTGGAGAAGTCGTTTCCTTCCTTCTGTTCAGTGCCAGTTCTCAGAGGAAAACATCCATTTTGCTCTTTGATTCTTGTAGCCCAGAGACGGCAATGAAAGACCCACTGCTTCCTCGAGTATAAGGATTCCATCTGGGGGGCTGCTGGGCAGGAAGGAGAGTTGCAGGGTGTATGTTCATCAAGCGTGGGTGTGAGAATGATTTCCCCCCGGGGCCAGTTCGTTGGCCTGGAGCCCAGAGTGAACCATTCATCTACCTTAAATTGCACCGGGAAGCAGAGATGGCTGGGTGGGGGGGAGTCACTCCATGGCCCTGCCACTTTCTGCCAGCTTTCACTGGGCCTCCTCCATGTGGGATGTCCTAGAAACTGAGGCAGTTTTTGGTCTCCTCCAGGGGGAGTAAAAGACGCACCTTCCAGTGGTCAGTAAACTGTAAGTGAAATCAACAAAAATGTGAATACTCTTCCCACAAAAAGTCAGGAGTTGGACCTACTCTCATAATGACTGGTGGTCTTAGATCACCAGATGCAAGGATGCTTACAGTTTTAATCAGAAGTCCAATTTCTAAGTGCTGAGTGGATGTTAAAGACAAAAGTGCTGTTGATACAGACATAGAACCTGTTCAGACATCTGATGCTCAAAAACGGTAGGCCCAACTTGCTTCACTTTGACCTGAGAATGTTTACTTATAACATTCAGCTCCAGGTTGTAAGAAAAAGAAACACGAAATAAAGCACATAAATAAACCTGGCTGAGCTGTTTGCAACATGCAATCAATGTCTTTAGTTTCTAATTAGGGACAGTGAGTTGAAAGTACGAGGGGTTGTTTTTGTTTCGTCTTGTGGTGGTGGTTTTCGTTGTTGTTGTTGTTGTTGCTGTTGCTGCTGCTGTTGTTGTTGTTGTCTGAAACAAGGAGAAAATTTTGGTCTGTTCACATGGAGGATTTGGCTGAGCCTAGGGTGGCCGATTGGTCTGGTTTGACCCGGGACCGGGGAATTTCTCAGCACAAGGGATTTTCACTGCCAAAACCAGGACTGCCCCGAGCAAATCAACATAATAGGTCATCCTAGTAAGGCCAAAATGGGCATAGCCTCTAAAACATGGAACGCTTGGCCTCGTCCCATTGATGTGATGTTCCAAGATCAAAGAATCCAGAGAACCAAAATGCTTGCAATTTAGGGAATTTAAAAAATTCACTAAACAATGTCTTAACATTCTAAATGGTTAATGCACCTTCAGGAGAATCTGTAAACTTTGACCACAGATAGTGAAGTTGAGATTTCGGGCAAAAATGTGCATCAGAAATCTGAAATGTTGATATAGGTTTTTAATTTTCTAAAACAGTCAAATAAGAAATAGAACAAATACCAGGTCAGAACTAACAGATTTTTCTGTTACTCATGTATCTCAATTTTTAGGAGCATTTTAGTGGTGGTGCTTTATGATGAGCTCCACACATAGGTTTGAAATCAACCATATTTGTATTTAAGAGCCAGTAAATCTCCGGAAATTATATTAATTTATTGGAAAGAAAGGTTGAATGTACCTATTTTTTCAAAGATTTAATAATGGCTTGCTTTTATTATGAAAACAAGTTAAACAAAATTTGTTTGTGATTCCAAACAAGGCTTTCGAGATTTTTTGTGGTTTTGAATCTTCTTTTTAGTAATAACAGCTTTGTTTAAAAGAAAAAAAAGCTTCAGATAATCACGCAAACTAGACATCCAGTTATTTTATAACAGTCTTAGATGCTCAGAAATCCTGCTAAATGTTTCTTTATAAGTAAAAAATTTGAACCGGCGCTGTCACAACAAATTCGTGGTCCAAATAGTTCTTAGGATACTTACAGTTGGAAAAATCTAAAGCATGATGGAATCTGGATGAGCTGCTATTGCAGATTGGAAAGTATAATATTTTATTTGAAATGCTTCTTGATATGATTGTGTTAGCTCTTAGCAATTAAATTTTCCTTTTGAAATGAAAAATCCATACAAAGTACTTTACAGGCATTTATCTGAGTCAATCCTCATAACAATGTGAAACGTTGTTAATTAATTTCGTTGTAAAAGATGAGCAAACTGGGATACAGAGGGGTTAAGAATCTATGGAAGCACACATGGTAAGAGACGATCTAATTCAGAAACTCTCACTCTTGTACCACCAAATGCTACCTTCAGTGAACTTTTAAGTGATGAAAGATGGAGGGAAGCACAACCAGGCTGGAATGGAGAAAACCAGAAGGGCAGAGTGTTGGAGAAACCAAGGAAATACACAGAATGTTTTTAAAGAGAGGGAGTGGTCAGCTGAGCCAAGTGCCACACACAGACCCAGGAGGACCAAAAAAGGTCAGTTGTATCTTGGCCATGAGGGGCTTTTGGTGACCATAGTGAGAGAAGTTAAGGAATGGTGGGGACAAAAGCCAGATACCTGTATGAAGTAAGAAAGCAAAGTTAGGGGTTAAACCCACTCCCTTGACCATTTGAATTCTCAAAGAAGAGAGAGCCTGGATGGTAGCTGAAAAGGAAATGACCAGTTTGTTTTTCTAGGAGCCTTGGGGAGGGCAAGGCTGGAGAGGCAGGAGAGTGGGACAATGACCTAGGAATGAGATGCCATAGAGTTCCGAGGGGCCTGGGGGCAGTTGACATAGGTCCGTGTCCTAGTGGACTTGGACTTGAGAAAGGAGTGAGGCATTCTCTGAGACCAGAAGACAGATCTTGGGAACATGCATGGGTGTCAATAGAAGGAAGCATTAGGTACTCAACTGGTGGCTGATGATGGGCTTACCTGAGACCTAAATGTCCACGGTGTCTGGGCAGCAAGGTCATCTGCTGAGACAGAAGAAGAGGGCACTAAAGGGGGTCAGAAGGACTTCGGTGAGTGTGGGGAATCTTTGAGGGACCTGGACACTCTGAACAAGTATAAGCACTGACAAGAATTTCTGAGGACCCAGCCGAGACTGGAGACCAAGTGTCTGCAGTGTCCCTGATCTGCAGGTGGTGTGGCTTTTCATCCAGACTGTTTACTCTCCTGAGCATGGGAACAGAGAAGGCAGATACACTCCGGATTCAGCTTCGTGCAGAAGCAGTGAGAGGATGCAGTAATCAAGAAGTAAGATGACTGCCAAAAAGCTATTAAGATTCTTAATTATGCCATTCAGGCCAGATACAAAATGAGGTCCCTGCACCAGTGGTTGGAGGTCCCTTCTCCCTGTTTCATATTTTCCAATGTCCCCAGTCAAGACCTAGTCAGCCAAAAGTTAAATCATATGCCCAGGATATTTCCTAGAGAGTTCAAGTATTTCACACTTTGGGAGCTTGACCTACAAACACTGCTCCTGGTGTGTAAGGAAATGAACTTTTAAATCAGAACCTTACAGAAAAACATCAGAAACCAAGAAATGTGCACTAACCCCTGCACACCCTGCAGAGAAAATGGACGGCGATGACTCTAAATTCAAAACAATATTTGTAGTGTGGTCTCCAGAAGAATTTCTCCCCCTGACTGTCACCGCTAAGAATGTATCCAATTTTGACAATCGCTCTAACATAACAAGCCCTCCCTTGGTTCACGTCAGTGGCAGAAATGTCACATGCCTTTGCCTGAAAAAAAAAAAATGGGGCGCCTGGGTGGCTCAGTCGGCTAAGTGTCCAACTTCGGCTCAGAAGTGTCCAACTTCTGTGCTGACAGCTCAGAGCCTGGAGCCTGCTTCACATGCTGTGTCTCCCTCTCTCTCTCTGCCCCTCCCCTTCTCTCTCTCTCTCTCTCTCTCTCTCTCAAGTAAATAAACATTAAAATTGTTTTTTAAAAACTTAAAAGTAAGCATTTTAGAGACATTGTTCAGGAAGTATTTGCAGGCACTGATAAATTAGATTAAGATTATAATTTGCAGGTTTGATATAACTAAAAGCAGGGATTTCTAGAGGCAGTGCATCATGGACTAAAACCCTTGCTCCAAAACTATCTGAGCAACTAAATTACTAAGTTAACCTCTCTCTATTTCTGTTTTCTTTTCTGCCAAGTAGGTAAACTAATACTATTCTACAGGATTTCTATAAAAATCATATGCCAAGTACCTAACAGAATAGGAAATGCAGGGAGTATTTAAAAGAATAGCTATTGTTATTGCTCCGAAAAAGGCTTTGCTTGAATTCTCTGTGGTCACAGAGAAAACAAACAGTGATTACTCCCCACATCAAAAGGCTTCATGGGGCTCAAGTTGGCTTCCTTTGAATCAGCAGGGAAAGCTTCATCTGTGAGCACATATTCTTTACATTTGAGCCTCAAGGACATATCTCCAAATGCTAAAGTTTAAATTAAAGATGTTTGATTTGCATCTGAACCACCAGATGGTGGCGGGGGGGCGGGGGGGCCTTTTTGAATTTGCCTTTGTCCCCGCTTTGAGTCTTGGGTCTCCGGGATCTGGAATGTGAGGTGCCTCCAGACCGCCCCTGCCCCCATTAGTGCTTAGGGCTTGCCTCTTTCATAGCACCTGGCACCCTCATTGATTTTTGTCTGTCTTTCCCAATACATCATGAATGACTTGAGGGCAAAAAATTCATCTCACTCTTATTGGTATTCCCAGTGCTTAGGCAGATAACAAATATTTGTTGAGTGACCAGGTCCTGCCCCAGCCGTGCCTCATGTTTCCACTCTTTGGAACACTCAGCTTAAATTCTTGATTAGCTAATGGACACTTCAGCTAATGGAACCGAGGTATCTTCACTTACATCAGAGAATGAGGCAGACGGGCGGTTGCGCTCTGTTTCTCTTCCATCCAAACATGTCCTGATTTCCAGTTTGTTCCTGGAGCTTCCCTGCTCAGAGAGAAGCAGCTTTGAATAAGAAAGGAATGATCAAAGAATTGGGCTGCTTAGCATATATCCCAGGAAAATTTAGGCATTTATAATGGAATAAAATAAACTATAATGGAAACTCAAATTCCTCATTATGCCAAAAGGTAAATAAGTTACTACATCAGTAGGTACGATCGGACTCAGATGTGTTAGCGGAAAATGATACAATTTCCCTACCATCCATGAGTATGTACAGTGAGGAAAGAATCAGCCTATCAGGGTCTGCTCTGCAGATCCGGGAAGGAGACACTGGCCTTATCTGTAAATAGCTGGCCAGATAATACACGATGAAAGATAAAGGTTTACTCTTTCTGGAGGAGGGAAACTAAAGAGAAAGGAATCCTCACACATCATCCTGCAGTCTGAGGTGTGAAAATGAGGAGAGAGGCAGGGGTCAACGCCTGTGAACTGAGTTTCTTTACAAATTGCCCTTTTGTGCCTTTAGGATTTAACCCTTTTCAGTGGTCTTCTGTGGACCAAGTTTCACACTTTCCAGGTGGTGGTGGATTGGAGTTGACACAGCAGACAATGGCCCCGGGGCGTGTGACGCAGCTGGGTGAGCCCAAGTAAATGCAGTGACCCAAAGTGCCACAGTGACCCAAAGTGCCGGTGGCTTCTCCTGAGGCCCCAGCACACTGCCTCATAGCAACCTGCCCAGATAGTTTCCTCCTAATCCACTCAATTCTAGCACAATCCCAATTTTGTATTTACCCTCCATTAGCTATTCTTTCAATATTATTTTTGGCCGTATAGGTCATGGACATTTCTCAGGGGATGCTCCTGAAGGCCTTCCAGAATCTCCAAGATTCTGGAATACAACAAGTAATTATTTCCCCTCCCTTTCTCTGATGAGAAGCTAAGTAGATGCTTGCACACTAACTTTAAATGCCCTCGATGGGGGCCAGTTAGGCTCACTCACTCACTAAGAAATTGCTCCAACAATCCCACCTTTGTCAAAGCCTGTGAAGTTCAAATTGACTACAAATTTCTACTTTCCGTGGTCTGAAAAGCTAACTCGTGAATAACAAAACCCTCCATGTTCAGCCTGAGAGTATCACTTCCTGAGCAATATTCACCCAAATTGGCATGGCTGTCTTTGTGGCCCATGTGTCAGGTAAATGTCACTATTTCTGCTCACCTTGTTTTCTGCATTCATTTATTGATTCATCATTCAGTAAACCACTTGCTGAGCCCTGACTATGTCAAGCCCACGGAATACAAAATTAAATAAAACGGAACTTCTTATCCTTGCAGACCATGCAATGTACTGAGAGAAGATAAATAAAAGTGTATTAAAATCTACTGAACAAATTGCTGTGGGCCAGAGTTGTTTTTTGTGATTTTTGGGAGGATGACTTGGTTTCAATTAGAAGCCTACAAACAAAATAGTTTCTAAGAGCAAAATGCTGAACATAAAATAGATCGATTCCCCAGGAACCATGGTAAATTATCTTAGAGAAATGGAAAATCGGGAAGGGCTCACCTTGATGCTATTTTCTCCTGATTGAACCAATTCCATGCGATGATAATCGATGTGGACTAACCAGGTGAGAAGCTGACCTGGAACAGGTGTTCCTGGGACTTCTTGTAGTAAAGCTAAGCTGGTGGCATTCCTTTGTGAGCTACCGTACCTGAGAAAACCTTCTGATATGAGAGTTCACAAGAAATGGAGAGTCTACTTTGTCTCTAGCTTAGAGCCAAAAGCTGAGAATGCCAGTCTATTATGGCTGTGATAAAGGACAAATATAAAAATAGAACAAATGGTAATATAGACTTATACAGTGCGGTACTTTTATAATAACAGCTTTATTCAGCTATAGCTCACATACCTAGGACGCATTTCGCCCATTTGAAACTTACAATAGTTGTTAGTATAGTCACAAAGTTGTACAACTATTACACAAATCAGTTTTAGAATATTTTCATCACCCTAACGAGGAAAACCCATATCCATGAGTTGTCACTTTTCATTTGCCCCCAACCCCTCAACCATAGGCAAACACCAACCTACTTCCTGTACCTACGGATTTGTCTACTCTGGGCATTTTATCTAAGTTGAATCATACAATATGTGATTCGCTGTGACTGGCTTCTTCCACTTAGCACGCTTTCAAAGTCCGTCCAAGTAATAGCACATACCAATACTTCATTTGTTTTGATTGCCAAGTAATATTCTATTCTATGAATATACCACATTTTATTTATCTATTCATCTGCTGCTAGATATTTGAGCTGTTTCCACCTTTGGATATTAAGAATAATGCCCATGAACATTCATGTACAGGTTTTTTTTTGTGTGTGTGGACATGTACTTTTATTTCTTTGGGGTATATAACCAGAAATAAAATTGCTGAATCATGTGGCAACTGTGTTAAACGAAAAGAAACTTCCAGGCTGTTCTACCAAGAATCTGTACCATTTTACATTCCCACCAGCAATGTATGAGGATCCCTATTTCTCCACATCCTCAATAACACTTATTCTCATCTGGCTTTTTTATTATAGCTATTTTATTCATAGGTGGTATCTATGGTATTCAAAGTGGTATCTCCTTGTGGGTTTGATGACTAATGATGTTGAGCGTCTTTTCATGTAGTTATTGGCCATTTGTAGGTATTCTTTAACGAAATGTCTATTCAGATCACTTGTCCATTTTTTTTTTTTTAATTTTGTTTTTCAACGTTTTTATTTATTTTTGGGACAGAGAGAGACAGAGCATGAACGGGGGAGGGGCAGAGAGAGAGGGAGACACAGAATCGGAAACAGGCTCCAGGCTCCGAGCCATCAGCCCAGAGCCTGACGCGGGGCTCGAACTCACGGACCGCGAGATCGTGACCTGGCTGAAGTCGGACGCTTAACCGACTGCGCCACCCAGGCGCCCCCTAAAGTGAGTTATTTATCTTTGTGTACGATACTTTTATTTTTTAAAGCTTATTTATTTATTGAGAGACAGAGTGTAGGGGAGGAGCAGAGAGAGAGGGAAAGAGAGGAGGATTCCAAGCAGGCTCCACACTGCCAGGAGAGAGACCAATGCGGGTCTTGAAATCACGAACCGCGAGATCATGACCTGAGACGAAAGAGTTAGATGCTTAACCAACTGAGCCACCCAGGCACCCCTGTGTACAGTAGTTTTAAAGTTTAAAAAAATGCTTTTATGTTTATTATTTTACATCTTGTACAACAATGCTATGGGTATTATTATTATTATTATACAAGATAAGAGAACTGAGGCTCAGAGATGTCAACTGACTTGCCAAGGTCACGTAGCTATCAAGTAGCAAAGCCAAAACTTGAACCCAGCAGAGGCATATCCCCTGCCATAACTGTGAGCTCTGAAAAAGGAAGAAAATTTTCCTTGTATTCTATCTGGTACTGATTAGGCAGCCCACCATGTCCAAACATCATTAAATCAAATAGTACTAGAATCTCTACACTAAAGATAACTCCCAAGGGAGAGTCAAGCCAGAGCATTCAAAATAAATTGCATGGATGGCCAGACAGGAATCTTCCTTAATAAGACTTCTGTCCAAGCCTGCCATAAATACCCCTGAGAACTCAGAAGATAAAAATAAATTTCATAACAGTGATCTTGCTGTGACCATAACCGGCCTAAAATCACTCTGCTTTCTGAGATGCTGCAGATGCTCAATTTTATTCTTCTTTTCAGAATGGGAGTTCTTCAACTTTTTCATGATTGATAAGAGCTTCTAGATGTTTCCAAATGCAGTAGGTAAATCATTTTATAGGGTCAGTGGAAACCATCAGAAAAGACCCCCACAATCTACAGAATTCCAAAGCACCTTAAACAGAACACCAATCAATTACCGCTGAGGATACATGATAAGCTTTGTGTTAATTTTAAGCTAAACATAGTATGAAAGTTCAGAATTGAAAAGAAACAGCAAAAAATGAGGTTAAGTAGAAAAATGTGGACTCTGGAGCCAGACAAACTTGAGCTCACCTGAGAGGAGGCGTCTCCGTAGCTTAAACTTTAAGTGATTTATTTTATCTGAGACATGGATTCTACATTGAATTTACATTTCTTCTGTGAAATGTAAATAGATAGATAGATAGATAGATAGATAGATAGATAGATAGATAATTTTTTAAAAGGCAAAAACAAAAAAAAACCCAAAACACCCTATTCTATCTAGCATTATCATAATATTAAATGAATTGTGTATATAAAATGTCTGGCACATTACACTCGATAATGGTGCCTAATTTATGAGAACAGAAGAGAATATTTGTAGGATCATTGCAATGTCAGTTCCATTTGAAATTAGTAGCTCTAAAAAAAGGAATACTTTTCCAGACCCATGTCCCAAAGGGCATTTTTTAATATAGTAGGGGGAAAAAAAGAATGTTCAAGGCAATAAGAATGCTCTTGCAACATGGCCTAAGACTTTATATTTGACAGCTAATGTATCATTGGGAAGATCTGTAACCTTGAACCAAGGATACAAACCTACAGTGTAGACACAAAGCAGTGTTTAGATGGAAATGAAATTTCCTTTTTTGTTTTTTGCCTTCTTAAACAACCCATCACTCATTCTCTCAACAAGACCGGGCACGATTTTATCAGTCATTCTCAGATTTTATTCTTTATTGGAGGAGAGATGGCAGATACACTTTATTAAAGGCATAAGTTGATATAGACATGCCTTTGAAATAATGCTATTTTCAAGATTGGTGTTAGGACGCACATGCCCCATTACATTCTGGGAAAAAAGGAAAACTTGTGCCCAGCTGATTCTCTCAGGCAAGTACAATGCCAGACGAGGTCCACCATTCTGGGTCCAACATGAAGGACTCTGGGCAGGTTAATCAGAATTTTTTACAGAACCTGTTCAAAAGAAGTTTAATATACTTTGCAACATTTCAAAGAGGAAAAAAAAATGGGACCTAAAACTAGCCATTGACGTTATTAGTGAAGTTGAGCATTATACATGTGATATTTATATTTTCTCTTCTGTGATTTGTATGTTTGTAACATTTGCCCATTTTTCTATTACAGTGTTTATCTTTTCCCACGTTATTTAAGGTTTTAATCTGAGGATATTAATTAATAGGGTTGTCAAAGACAAAGCAAAGATTTTCCAAGTTTTTTGTTTGCCTTTTCATTTGTTTTTTTAAATTATTGATGTAGACATGTCTTCCACTCTAATGCAGTCAAATCTGCCTTCTCCTTCATGATCTCTTGTATTGGAACATCTCCGTTTCTTCGAACCTTATTTTACAACTATACTTAATGGCATCTAATGTGACAGAAAGGCCTAGGAGGTAAGGATGAAGAGCAGCTATTCCATTAAATAATTAGGACGTCCTTGGTCACTTTTAGAAAGAAATTTCTGTATACTTGTGAGTTTTGACCCAAGATTGCTGGAGTATAAACAGTAAATGCAGACTAATATTACAAGAGCCTTGATGTGAATGTGAATAGACACTATCAACATCTATGGATGAGAAAAATGAAGACCTGAGTTGAAGATACTGACCTTGGTCTTTTACTCTGGCAGATCTGATGTGCCTTCAGAGAGACGGTGTCTGTTCCCATGATGGCTGTGACCCTTTTTGGTGGTTAACTCTATCCTCAGAAGGAAATTCCATGACCCTATAATAGGTGGTATTTCAGGGGGAAAAAGAGAGGTTATGCATCATGATAATTGTGGTAATACTTGAGTTTAAAGCTTTGAAGCCTTTGCCCACTTTATTTCATTTTAGCTTCAAGTGTCAAAAAGGGATAGGTGGAGAAGCATCATTATTTCCATTTTACAGAAGAAGGAAATGAATTGCCCAGCGTTTAAGCAATTGATAAAGCCCAGCATGGTACCACTCTGTGAAATACCAGACTATATTCTTATCCTCATATGCACAGATATAGTCTTGTGAGTAAGACAAGATATAAAAGGAACAATTAAGAGCACCCAAGAGAATACACACTAGCATCAGATGAAATGCCACAAAATACTCTAATGCATGGAACTCATAATAAATGCTGAACAGGTAGCTGAGAAAAGATTACATCCATGTTGCCTGATTATTCGAGAAAAAGTTGATGGAAATATGAGTGTTTCAAATGGGAGTTGGATTTGGACAAGTACATTGAAAGAAAGCATTTTCGACAGGACTGAAAAGAGACCACACTAGCGTAAGAACGGAAGACCTGGACGGAGAATGCGGGAGGCAGGAAGCCGGCCTGCTGGAATAGCCTTGTTAGGAGCAAGATATTCGGCTGGAGAGGTAAAGTCAAAATTTAAAGGGCCTAGAATATCAGGGTGAGACATTTGAAACTGAACCTTTCAGCAACAGAGAAGCACGAAAGGTATGTTCAAAGGAGAGGGAAATGGTTAAAGACGTGTTTCTTAGGAAGACTCCTGTGATAAGAACATGCAGAGCAGATAGAAGGAAACAGTGCAAGAGGCTAGAAAAAAAGAAAAGCAGAGGGGCAAACTCAGAATCACAGGTGCTGAAGAAACGTGTTCCCAAGAGTTCAGTCCCAGAGAGTGGAGATTACCTGATGCCAGTGAAGGGAGACAGGCAAGGAGATATATTTTTCTATCTTTTTTATCCGTATTTTATGTGTACACACACACACACACACACACACACACACACACACACACACACACACCACTGTGCTCATGCACCAGGCACCCAAAGGCCCCTTGTTGCCTGCTTCTCTTCCAGGGCCCTGGAGAGGACAGAGATGAAGCAATTAGTTCAGACTGATAACTAGGCTTGTGGAAGTGGATGAGCCTTCAGACGCAACAGAGGAAGATATTTTTAAAAACCAAAGGCCCAAAGAGGGAGATTCGAGGAGCGCTGGTAGTTAATGGATAGGAGCAATGAACAAAGGCGATTAAGGGAGCAGAGCAGAACGGTAGCTTCCTCTGACAAGTGCACAGCACCTTCTAAAGCACTAGGTGTAAAGCCTCACATGCACTGTCAAGGGTGTGAGCGGTGAAGTTAATGGAGAAAGCAGAGTTATTCTGCCGGAGAGACCCATTTGAAAGTGAAATAGAGGTCAAAACCCCACTCTAACATGGAAATTGGAAACTGCCAGATGTTCCGATGCTGTGGTATAGTTCAAAAAGGGCAGAATTGACGGATTATTAACTGTGCCAGCTGGCATCGTGGAATTTATGTTTTCTTTGTTATGTGAAATGTACAATCATAACAGAAACATTAAAAACCTGAGTAGGTTCAAGGAAGGACATAAAACAATATAAATCAAAGTTTACTGTAATAAATATAGCTAACAGCAGAGGGCTCCCTTCAACGCCTGGCAAATTCTCAAGGCAGACAAACTCAAGGGAAGGAGTTTTTTTTATTTTCTGGTAACTTCTACCAGCATTGAACATTTTCATACATATGGGGGAAAAAACCCAACTAAATAAATGAACTAAACTAAACTAAATGTATTACAAGCATAATTTTTAGAACTTCAGGTCCTAAGATTCCTCTCTTTAAAATTTTTAACTGTATTTTTTTTGCTAATGAGAAACTATCTGAAGTTATTAATGCAATAATTCAGGGCGGTCTAGTTATAAAATGCCTCGAGATAATAGAGTAACAGCAGTTACAACCCAGAATAATAAAATATTTGGTAATTATGATAATGAATCAGTCAATAGGATTTCTTTTAAAATGAATGTAAAGATTTCTAGAATAGTGATACATGCTCCACATGGGAAATAAGTAAAAATAGAAGATAAAAAACAGTAAGCTTAGCCCTCAGATATATCCTTAGTTAACATTTTAGTTTATTTTTTTTCAGTCTCTTTTGTGTATAAGTTTGTTTCCATGTTAATATATACAGTCAGATTGATGACTGTATTATGTGTAGAATTTATCATTTTCATCTTGCTTAAATAATCCACATTTTAACAAAACATTTCATAGTCCATTATAAATTCATTTGTATACATAACTCTTAATAATTATGTCATACTCAGTAATATGAGTATATGTCCTAAGAGGTACTTAACCAATATAGGTACTTAACCAAATTTAAGCACATTCCAAGTGTTCTTTTTATGTAAGTGTAATATCTTTTCACTTAAAATCATTTTTTTGTATCGTGACTTAGCTCCTCAGGCTAGTAGTTTTCAAGATAAAAAAAACTTTAAGAAAAACAAGGGAGTATGAAATAAGTAGCCTAGCCAATTTACACATAACTTCTATTTAAGTGGAAATGACACTGTTAAACTACAAGACCTTGGTGTGGCAACAAAAGGACCATTTTTAACCACATTGCTGCCCTTGAAGGACAACTGATAGTGACTCATGGGAAATAGCCCACGAATAGCACAGAAAACATGTAAGGAGACACAAGTAGGGTTTGATTAATGAACATCATAAGCACACTATAGTCATATCTATATCTGTGTGTTTTTATATTGCTTTTAAATTTGTTTATACGTATTTACATTTAACTGGGGAAATGGACATAGCACATTCTGAAGTATAAATATAATTATTCTTTTACTTCATCATATTTTTGTTTTACTATTCAGAATTAATAGAAACAGCCATTATGAAAAAGAGATATCAGATTATAAAAAATAAATAAATAATAAAAATAAAGAAATGGATGCATCGGGCCATTAAAGAGAGAGAGGGAGCACGTGTGCTCTATTTAAGCCAGTTAGTACCCCTGACACCAGTGAAAAATTCTGGTGCCTGGAGCGAACAGACCAGATGCACAACACCTTCTAACACATGGTGTCTGCAGGGCTCAGCTTTTCCTTTTGCAGAATATTGTGAAGTGTGAGTGGTGCAATGGACTAAGCATAAAAATCTGCAGTCTGAGTCAGATGATGTGGGTTCAAGTTTCTCCCTGATCATTACCAGATGTGTGACTTTGGAGGAGTTAAGTAATCCTTGAAATTCACTTAGGGGTAAAAAAAAAAAAGTGATTTTTATAACCCTCTAATGCATTTCAGACTATCTACCTAATGACACAGACAGCATTTCCATAAAATGGCAATTTTGACCTATAATCCCTACATCCAAACACACAGAATAGAAACCCAAGAGGGCTATACTCTGCAACCAGGGCTCTTTAGCAAATCAGGGCCTGGAAAGAGTGGACATTAGATTAAACACAAGCTGTTCTTTTTTTTTTTTTTTAATTTTTTTTTTTTTTTCAATGTTTATTTATTTTTGGGACAGAGAGAGACAGAGCATGAACGGGGGAGGGGCAGAGAGAGAGGGAGACACAGAATCGGAAACAGGCTCCAGGCTCCGAGCCATCAGCCCAGAGCCCGACGCGGGGCTCGAACTCACGGACCGCGAGATCGTGACCTGGCTGAAGTCGGACGCTTAACCGACTGCGCCACCCAGGCGCCCCCACAAGCTGTTTTTAAGTCAAATTGAAATCCTATTTACATTTTTCATAAGATATTTTAGAAATAAAGTATTGGAATCATTTACAAAGCATATTATTGTATGCAGTAGACTATAGTGTAGCCATATTTTCAACCAGTTATTTTTAATTTATGATGATGAAAAATATGGATAAAGTAGACTTTGTCTCAAAATGTTGTCATTTGATTTGCACACTGTCCTCAGAAAGGATAATGATTTTCCAAAGGCTAGTTTTACTGCTAGTCAGGTACAGCACTCATTTCAATACTGATGTTTTTGTTTAAATACACATGTCTGAGGACTTCCTTGGGTTCATCAAGGTACATCGTTAACTATACCATGAGTCAGCAAATTTCAACCCTTCAACTCAGGGGCCAAATCCAGCCTGCTGCCTGTTTCTGTACAGCCCTCAAACTAAGAATAATTTTTTAAATTTTTAATGGTTAGAAAAATCAAAAGAACTATAATGGTTCATCACACATAGAAATTATATGAAATTCCAAGTTTAGCATCCGTAAAATTTTGAATTTCATCAGAAAATTTGTGGAAATCTGTTTTCTCTCTTGTTACATAAGCGCTTACATAATATCCTCAAATTTGCCTCTTGGCCTACAAAGCCCAAAACATTTTGTTTACTATCTGGCTCCATACGGAAAAAGTTTGCCAAACCCTGAACCATGCCAAAACCCAAAACCATTCTTCAGTGTTCCTTGGGCTCTTTATGAATAATTAAAGACTGTGCCCCTTTCATATTAGAAGCAAATAGTCAATAGCAGTGGTTCTCCAAAATTCTGTACTTTGCAATTACCTGGGTAGCTTCAGAAAATATTGATGTTTGTGTCCCAGCCCCAGAGACTGTGGTTTAACTGGTCTGGGGTATGCCCTCAGCTTTGAAAGCTTTAAAAAAACCATGCGTAGGTGATTCTAATATGGAGTTTAGCAACAACTGATTTGGTACTTTGGCAAATTCAATCCACTCAACTTCCCTCCTGCTGATTCCCCAGCACATGGCCCATTGCAGCTGCCCTCAACCCTTCAAACTCCCAAACCTCTTGTTCCTGCTGCCCCATACTCCATTTCTTGTAGCGCAGCAGTCCCTGACCAACTCAACTGAGAAGTTCAAGGCCAATCCACTACCAAGTTTGCCTGTCTTACTTTCTGAACAGAATTCCTTCCTGAAGTTAATTCTCTTCTGTCCTGACCCTTCTACAGGGAATACACCATGGTGATTTAAAAGAGGTTGCTTGGGGTGCCTGGGTGGCTCGGCCAGCTGAGCATCCGACTTTGGCTGGGGTCATGATCTCACGGTTTGTGGGTTTGAGCCCCATGTCAGGCTCCGTGCTGACAGCAGAGCCTCCTTGGGATTCTCTCTCTGCCCCTCTCATTCCCTCTCTCTCTCTGTCTCTCAGAAATAAATAAACAAAAAAGAGAGAGCTATTGCTTGAATCAGAACTGAATTTGAGTCCCTATTCCTTTATGTATAAGCTATGCAAGCTTGAACAAATTGTTTAATCAGTTCAACTATCAGTTTTGTCATTCATAAAGTAGGATTAAGAATAAAACCTACCTCAGTACACCTGTGTGGCTCAGTCAGTTGAGTGTCCAACGTCATGATCTCGCAGGTCATGATCTCGCTGTCTGTGAGCTCCAGCCCTACGTTGTTGCGCTCTGTGCTGACAGCTCAGAGCCTGGAGCCTGCTTCAGATTCTGTCTCTCTCTCTCTCTCTCTCTGCCCCTCTCCTGCTTGTTCTCTAAAGAAATAAATGCATACATAAATAAATACATAAACAAACTTTAAAAAAATTTTTTAAAAAGAATAAAACCTACCTCATAGGGATCTTTGTGAGAATTCAATGAAATTTGCTTGCTAAAGTGTGGTCCTCAGACTAGCATCATTAGCACCACGTAAGCACTTGTTAGAAATGCCGAATTTCACACTCCACCCAGATCGTCCAAAACAGAATCTGCCTTTTAATGAGATCTGATAGCGATTTGTGTACACATTAAAGTTCGAGAATCACGGTGCTAGGAAGATTTTATTTCACTGTATGTCCAGGCTGAGTCTCTGCTCAGCCCCTCTACAGAAACACCCAATATATGTGATGTTGCTGGTGCCCTTAAGGGTGTCTTTTTTTATGTACAAAAAGAAATTTCCCTCAGGTAAAAAAAAAGAAATTGATTTGTCAGCCATGTACAAAAGAATTTGAAATTAAGAGAGACCAGGGTGGGGGCAAGGGATAGTTAAAAAGTGCGGGGTCACCTTTATACAACTTAGGAAAAGATGCTCCTGCTGAGCATTGAGCATTCATCACCTCACAGGCACACACCTGGTGAGCTGACAGAGTCCTTGTGCAATTTAGAAACACATACTCCCATGGGCTGCTGTTGTCAAGTTTTAGACCGCATGGCTCGCCAAATGCGGCAATGGCTCAACCAGTTGTCCTTGGCAACATGTGGCAATACTTTGAAGGTGAGTTTACATGAAGTCCCGAAGTAGTGTGTGGTCCACTGGAATGAAAAGAATGAAAAACGCAAGGGTGGATCCAAAAGAAAATGCCAAAATGACAGAGGGCAATGGAGAAGAGGTAGGGTGGAAAATGGACCTGGGGTTATTAAGGAAGACTTCTGGAAAGAGGTAGGATTTGACACAAATCTCAAGGATCTATGTAACTGAGATGTGAGGGGGAGGTGGAATCACATATTAAATATGTTACAAACAGTACTGGACTGTGAGAGAGACTATATTTTGAGATTGGCAGGATGAACCGTGGACAAGAAGGCAAATAGGGGTATTGAAAAGTCTAAACTCATTAGACTATAAATATGAAACCATTTTATTTTCTTCCAATAACTGTCCCCATCTATGCTAGACCGACCCCTCCACCCCTGCCACACACACACACACACACACACACACACACACACACACACACACATCTTAACCCTAGTCCATGGGTTTATTTGGTTAAGTCTTAATGTTACATCTAATTCATCATGTTCTTCTCCCTTCCCCCAGCCAGGGGCACGGTCTTTATCAGTTTCCCTCTTTCTCCTCTTTCCAGAACTATCTCCTCTAGAGGTGGAGCAGGGCAGAGTAAGGCTGCATACCTCCCTGCTTACCTGTGGTTCCAATGTGCTTCATGCTCTCCAGTATGCCCCCTCCAACCCACAACTCTGGGCACTGGAAGTTCCTAATTAATTTTGTCCACATCTTTGGCTGACCCCAGCTAGCATTGTCATGTCACATGCTTTTGTCCTTTACTGTGGGATTCCTCTAGAGACAGTTATCCCCAAACTCAGTCTAACTTACTTGGTCAGTTCCCAGGCTTGCAACAAGTACATGTGGAACCATCTCAGTATATCTTGGAAAGGGGTGCGTGTCAACTGGGGGAGTGATGAGAAATCTTGTGACATCTCCACCTGACATTCCCCTCCCCAACATGCAAGTGCACGTACATCACCTCTATAAACGCCCTACCTACACACCTGACAGCTCAGAGGTAGTTCATCAGCTCTGCTATATAAGCAGATATTCAACCAGGGAATAAAGAGTCAGTCTGCCTTTCCTTCGCCACTCCCAAGTCTATGAACGATTCTCTTGGACCTCCTTCTCTTTCCTTCAATGGAGGAGATGAAGAGAGAAAGTGAACACTTTGTTCCTTCAAAAGACTCCTCTTCTCAGTTGTTGTTGTTGTTGTTTTTAAATATCAGGAGGAGGTGAAAGACAATGGAGTAGTAACCCCAGGTCTGCTGGATAATCCTTCTCAAGCCCTGCAAAGAGATAGCAGATCTCAGTAGCTGTGGTTCCTGGGGCTTAGAATTTGGGGTACATATTCCCAGCTTTGAGTCTTTGATGGTTCTGGGACAACATGAAAAATCTCACTCAGCCCCTGATGTTGCACTGTTATAAGATAAAGAAATTAATTCTCAGAGAAGGGCAGATGTTTCCCCAATATTAAATGAGAGATGAGATTTAAATACCAACATCATACTTCTTCCACTGGTTCTTGATAAACGCAACTTACCTATCCATAACCCAAAAGCTTTTGAGCTAGAAGACTCCAGGAAAATAGGAGGGAATAGGCACATTCTGTAAGCACAGTTAGCAGTCTCTCTCAGTAGCTACGATTATGCACCTTTTACAAATTTATATGATTAATCATAGTGCTGAAGGCTGAGCCTAACTCACTCATCAGTTACAAGCATCTCAGTGTATTATGTTGGTTTAAGAATTATCGACTGTATATATTACCCCACAGATTTTGACTTGTTGAAGACTGAGGTAAATACCAAAGGGTATTAACATACCCAGCTAGTAAATGAGGAAGGGCTTCCCTTGAGAACACTGTTCCACCTACACTGAGACATTCCAATCTATAGCCATGGACAGCTATGATCAAGCCAGCTTCCCGTGCCTTCAGAAAGGTCAAGCTGGAGATCATCTTAACTAAACATTTATTTTTAAGTTAGGCCACGTCTATACAAGCAGAGAGAATATTCCCCCCTTATCTAAAGTATTTGGTTCTTCTCCAGGGAGCAAACCAAGATCATCTGCAGACATGTTTAGAGGTAGGACACTGGGCATTTACTTAAAACTTCAAGTTACTGAATATTTATGTAATCTTTTCTTTTACTGGGGATTAGAAGGTTTGCCTGTATGGAAACACTACTCTGAGAAAGCTGATGTAAGACGGCACTTAGTCAGATGAAGGCATTTTAGAGTCCATTCAAATCAAACGTTACTTCAGCAAACAAGTATTTACTGAGCACCTGCTCTGTGCTGAGCACTGTTATAGTTCATTACTCAGTACAAGTTCTCTGCGAGCCAGATATTTTCTTTCCGTTTTTTTCTAAAGGCACAATGTAGAGATATTCTGTACAGAGAGATTCAATGTAGAGAAATTCTTGACTCCTTGTCCATGCCTGTGATTGCACTGATCCGTGCTGCCTACGATCAAGATCTTTGGTGCTTTCTGGTTAGAAAGACTGCTTTTTCTTTATGGACATAACTCCCTTTGAGTTGGCAACAGCTGGGAAATCTTTGCTCACTTCACTTAATTGAGCTGTCAGCTGAGATCCCAGTCCAGATTTTTTTTAAGAAGGAAGAGAGGGGGCGCCTGGGTGGCTCAGTCGGTTAAGCGTCCGACTTCAGCTCAGGTCACGATCTCACGGTCCGTGAGTTCGAGCCCCGCGTCGGGCTCTGGGCTGATGGCTCAGAGCCTGGAGCCTGCTTCCGATTCTGTGTCTCCCTCTCTCTCTGCCCCTCCCCCATTCATGCTCTGTCTCTCTCTGTCTCAAAAATAAATAAACGTTAAAAAAAAAATTTAAAAAAAAGAAGGAAGAGAGGAAGGGAGAAGGAAAGAAGAGAAGAAGGGAGCAAGAGAGGAAGGGAGGCAGACAAGATAAAGTTAATCCTAGCCCCTAAGATTGTAGTCTTCATTCATGGCTTTTTGAAGGGGAATTAACATGCCATTCTCCCAATATTCAATTTTGTGGGGAAGGCATTCCAGGGACATGTTCAAGAATTACTGTTCAAGTGTCATTATTAATTATGTCACCATCGTTCAATGATGCATCCCCCATTTATATGTGTATCTTCTTCCCCTTGATAAGAGGTGATCAGCACATGGTCGAATTAAAGAAAAAAAATAAATGTCTGAAGGCACCCTGAGTGTTTAAATGCCTGCCCACAGGACTTAAATAATCCATGACACCTGGTGAAAGGACACAAGGCCACCAAGAAAAGACTCCACAGAGGGGTGGAGCCATCCAGACACAACGTTATGGGCAGGGATAAGCTGCAGATTCATAACATTTGAAACATGAAGCAGAAACTGTAGAAGTTACTGCACCTAGAAGAGCTTTCTTATGACGTGGAATAATGGAAATTTAACTAAGTTTCTTTTACAAGTCTCTCGGTCTTATTTAATACAAAGAACCAAGCAATCCATTATCTTATTAGAAAAGATCAAAATAACAATGCAGGAAATAGAAGTGAGAAGACAGCAAGAAAGGAGAAATAGAGGTGAGAGGAAGGGAGGGGAGGGAGGAAATGTGGGGAAGAGAGAGAGAGAGAGAGAGAGAGAGACTAATTTCTTCCTTTAGAGCTAACCTGGGAGTATAGAGCCATGAAATAAAGCACCTGCCTCTACTTGAAAGATGGCATTGTGTTCGCACTAATGCCCCATATAAGACATCAGTTTTCAACTAATGCCACTGAGACAGGATGAAGAGCTTCCAATAGTTTGGAAGCAGCATGCAGTCTGCCCAGTTTATTTCAGAAATAAAAAAAAGAAGGAAGTAACACAGCAAAATGTATGTTCCCCCTTGGTCCACTGAAACATCAAACTCCAGGGTGAGATTAATGTAGTATCATTCCCTCAAGCATTTTGTTTTCAAATATGTGCTTGCCGGCTTCAGGAAAACTGATACTTAGGAGAAAATGGAATCGTACATAATCCAAGCAATGGACATTGTTCTGATATCTGTGTCTGGCTTTAAAATATTTCAAGTCCAAAGACAATGGGCTTCAAAGTGACCATTAGAGGGGTACACCCATCTTCCCTCCAGTGGAACACAGGAGAAATGGGAAGGAGAGGCCAGCAGCCTGATTTGGTGGCAAGATAAAGAGAAAGCTGAGTCTGGGTTGAGAGGAAATTGCGCTCCCTTCTGACAGTGGGTCAGAAGTCTGTAGAACTCAGCTCAGATGTAGAACATATAGCGGTAAGGCAGACACTACCGGAAGTGACCTCCAGTGAGTCACAATCTATACACCCACCTCCCATTGAATGTGGGCAGAACCTGTGATTTGCTTCTCGCTGACAGAATATGGCAAAAGGGATTAGATGGCAATTCTCCTGATGATGCGACTTTGTGTGGCAAAGTGTTGGAACGTCACTCCCTGGATTAAGGAAAGATGATGGGATAGTCCCGCCCCCATCATTACATTCATTACATCATGTAAGACTCTCTTTGCAAACTGGATAGAGAGAGTTAACTTATGTTTTTGTTGGGTTTTTTTTCTTGAGGCTTCAATTTTTTTTATTCAAGTTTTACTTGAAGCGATGATAATTACAGCACTTGGGTTTTTTTTTTTTTTTTAGTTTTTTAATGTTTATGTATTTTTGAAGGAGAGATAGAACACAAGTGGGGGAGGGACAGAGAGAGAGAGGGAGACACAGAATCTGAAGCAGGCTGCAGGCTTTGAACTGTCAGCACAGAGCCCGACACGGGGCTTGAACCCATGAGCTGCGAGATCATGGCCTGAGCTGAAGTCGGATGCTTAACCAAGTGAACCACCCAGGAGCCCCTAACTACAGCATTTGAAGGGGAGGATCTAATTCTACACAAAACGGAAGACTCTAAAATGTACCCATTAAACTGCTAAAAATAAATAAATAAATAAACTGCCATGCTGTCAAAGGTCCTTTGAGAGGGACATAAAACAAAAAACTCAAGTAGTCTCTGGGAGCTAAAAGAAGACCCTGGCTGATGACCAGCCAGGAAACAGGGACCTCAGTCTTAACAACCACCGAATTCTGAATTCTGAATTCTGCCAACAATCGCATGAGCTTGGAAGAGGACCCCAAGCTTCAGGTCAGCCCACCTGACACCTTATCTGGAAACTTATGCGACCCTGAGCAGAGGACCCAGACCCCTGACCCAGGAGTCTGAGATAATGAAGGTGTGTTGTTTTAAGCCACCAAGTTTCTGGTGATTTTTAATGCAGCAATAGAAAACTAATATAATATCAGCAAGGATCCCGCCCAGGGTGCAAAGGGACCCCCAACAACAAGAGTCTGTGGGGTGAGCATCTAAAACCAGAAGCTGATTGATGGTCGGCAGTGGTCTGCCAAAGTACAAGGTCACCGTAGAGGTATCCGACGATGATGGGAGTCTCTGAGGAACTCACAGATCGTGAGAGGAGAGGTGAACAATCTGACAGGTCTAGAGAGCTCAAAGTCCCTGAGAGCCAGGGAGAACTCCCCATTCCCTAACCCAGTGGGGTGTTAGCAAAACAGCTACCCAGAGAGGGAAAGGCCTGATTTATAGCATTTGCCAATTTCTGTGGTGTAGAGACTCTCACCATGACTGAATTCAAGCTACCAACAGTTTAACAGCTTACTCACAATTTTCCTGATCTCTAATAATCAGCTGTTGGGAACCAGTGTCTAACACAGCAGGTCTCCTGTATTTCCTCCACCCTGGAGGGAGAATCAGCCAGCCTGGGGGGAAGTGGGGAGAGCAGAAGCCTGACCTTCAACAATAGGTTCCCAGTCAGTCGGGAGGGGGTGAAGAGATTTAACCCTGAATGGCGAAGGAAGTGTTGATTCATACCAGTTAGACTGGCTCCAAAAGTTGAGACCCAACCTAAGGTAATGTTGAATTGCGCATTATACGAGGGTGAGTAAAGGTCATGGTCTGCCCAGATTGTCAAACACACACTCACACAGGTGCATGCACACACACGCACACACACGTACACACATATTACTAACAAGATAAATTAATCTTCTCTGTAGGTTTAACTATCCAAGACAGAAATAAAAGTTGCAGAGTTACCATTTTCTTTCTTCTTCTTTTTAAAACAATTTCTTAACATTCCCCTCTTTTCTCGAAATGCCTTTATAAGTGAGGGGACTCTTAAATCCCAACATTAGACACATGAATGACTAAATGACTGAGGTCAATCTCATAATGTGTTTCTCTGTTTAGAAGTGCTAGGCCATCTCAGGAAGCCCCCTGCTAAAAGGCAGCTTGTCCGGCTAAGG